TTTGATTGTAAATGAGAATTGTTGCGCTTATTAGTGAAGATCGAACCTTGCAGATACCAACCTGAGTTAGGTACTTACTTATGAAACCAAAAGATTCCGAATGAAAAGAAAATTATCAACACTTCCTTAAGGTGGCATTTCCAAAGGACATCCTGCTTTTGTGGTCCGCATCATTCGTCCTCAGCGATTTTGTGGTAAGAGAGACACATTAGCGTAACTAGCAATTCATCCTCGGGGGGCTTGGGATTCACCGCAGGGGGGGCCCAGGGCTTTTGTTTTTTAAAAAATGAATAATAATTTAAAAAAAAACACATTTTTTGAATAAAACGTTTACATGAATTTCACTATCAATAAATTCCATCCCAGGTTATCGAACCGTGTTGCCGAAGATTACTTAAATACCTACAAATTTAAAAAAAAATAACACATTTTTTGAACACAACAAAATAATATTAACTCGAATATTAACTAAACAAAACTAGAAAACGTCATTTTTACTACATCACAAGCAAATAAAAATTAATACGTATATAGAGTCATAATTCGAAATTTCTCTGGGGGTGCCCAACAGTACCTAGGGGGGGCCCGGCACTCCCGGGCACCCCTGTATTTACACCAATAGAGAGACACTATCAATGGTGCTATAATTGAGTTTCGGCTGTTATGAGACGGGTTCACTTCTAGTAAATTTTAATATTTTACTACAAAAGTAGAGTACTTGAAAATTACTTTTCTGACTAGCGATAATATTCATAAACTATAACATACAGGGTTATAGTTTATGAATTAGAAATATGTATTTTTCAGCCTTTCTTAAAAAAAATTATTAAAAATACAAGAACTGTCCTGAAATAAAAACTATATTCGGTATTTACTTTAGATGGTCTGTACTAACTTTGCTGTAAATATGGTAATCGTAAATCGTACAGGATGTTCAAAATTCTACGCCAAACTTTCTAAAATATAAAATAATTTTTTTTCGTTTTTTTTTTAAATGAAAACCCTATATATTATTTTTTCAATAGATGGAAAATTACAAAATGAACATTTTTTATACTTAGAGTATTTCAAAAATTTTAACGGTTTTGGAGATATGCGGGGTTTTATATTTGCTATGGCATTTTCCACAGTAAATTTTTATCAAAACCACCCAATGATATTTCTCTCGTATTTTACCGTTGATAGAGTCATAAAATAATACTGCGTGTATCTGCAAAACCATTAAAAATTTTGAAATACTTTAAATACAAAAAATATTTATTTTTGAATTCTCCATCTAATAAAAATATAATATACAGGGTGTCTCATTTAAAATAATACAATGGAAAATTATTTGATATTTTAGAAAGTTTGTCGTAGAATTTTGAACATCCTGTATGATTCAAGACTACTATATTTATAGCAAAGTAAGTATAGACCATTCAAAGTAAATACCTAATACTGTTTTGATTCCAGGACAGCTCTTGTATTCTTAATGATTTTTTTAATGAACGTTGAAAAATAGATATTTTTTATTTATTTATTTATTAATATCTCTGAAACTATCGAAATATATTTACTTATATTTTAGGATCATGTAAAGTGATCGGAAAGAAAGCCAAAAATGCAATAATATACAGGGTATTCTGTTTATGAATCTAATATGATTTTTATCTGCATACATAGGTACTTATCGATTTTGCTGCCTCGACAGCCTTCTCTTTTACTTCTTTCAAAAGCAAAATATCTTATTGAGTAGGAACTTAGAAGTACGACTTTCATTTATTTGTCTTTGAATTTTGTTGTAATCCGGAATAGAGAGGTTAAAATAGTAAAATTGTCCCGTTGATAAGAGACGCCGAACTAATGCAGTGTCCGATTTGGCGCGTGCATGTCCTAATTATTGAAGTTCTACTGTATTTATTTTACGAACTATTTTTTTAAAGAATGTATTTCCTCACAAGTAGTAGTATTTATATCTACATTTTTATGTCTTTTTTGCGATATATTTGTATATATTATTTTTTTATATATATTTATATCATATTCTTTATTTAGTTTTCTTGGATATTAGGTTCTGGTTCCTTCTTTTTTCTAAATTAAGTCATAGAAATAACGAGAAAAGCTTTTTTTGTTATCTTTTATCTTGAAAAAACAAACGTTTTGGCTAAAAGTTGTCATCAGTGATAACATTTTGACATTCTGTAATAATGACAAAAATTTATATTATATTAAATTTATGTGTTATGTATATTTTTTTATCTATTTATAATATATTATCTTATTTATAAATTTATTTATAAAAACAAAAACTTTGTCTAAAAACTATGAGTATTTTTTACGTCACTATGTAACAGTGGCGCATCTAGAGATTGAGTCTGGGAGAGGTAGTGTGAATATTCAAAAAAGTACTAAATTTGAATTAAATTTTTGATGTAAGGTATTGTAACTGTGGAAAAAATCTACTTGGATTGGTTTGGATATTCTGTTTTAATTTGTATTATTAACTTTTTTGTAACAATTTTATTCTATACCAAATTTTATCTTATTAATTAATTTCTGTCTGGGAGGGGTAATTACCCCCATTACCCCTCCCGTATATGAGCCCCGGCTATGTAACTTATTCAAGTATGATGTCTGAAACTTGTAAATAAATAAATATTTGTTTGGCTTTGTTTTATTTTTTTATACATCATAGGCATATGTACTTTTTTTTACAAAACAAATAAGTACAAAAATGTCACTAACAGAATGCAAGTAAACATTTGCTTTCAATATTCTTAAAACTCAATACGGCCCTGTGGAAAATATTTAAGACATTTTTATTTGAATCCAACCCATCGAGTTTTAAATCGGAATGGCGTTGCTGCAGGTAGCACTGAACATTGGTATTATAATAAAAAAAATTAATAAAATTTTATAATAAATTAGGTTAAATAAACATTATATTAATTTTATTTTTATTTTAATTTTCTGAATTGTGATTAATAAAATTCCGTTTATCTCGTCCAGGAGGTCGAAAGCGCAAAAATATCCAGATACAACTTTTAATCGGCATTAGACAGTTTATACGACAGTTTTGCTAACAAATGAAAAGAAAGTCAGTGACGCACATATTTTTTGGAATAATATTCCAGTGATAACCCATATTATGTACATCCCTGGTAAATATCTCGACACTTTTTAGCATTAGAATATGTCACACTTATTAATTTTTACCCTCAAAATTTCATTCGAATCGCTGAAAGCACTTGGACGAAAATTATAATAAATCTATAACAAAATAAGATGTTAACACCCTCTAGCTATGAAAGAAAGCATAAATCTTATTTTTACGTGTAAACTAAAACAAACCAAACGAACCCTCAACCCAACCCTCAAAATTTCATTCAAATCACTAAAAGCACTTGGAAGAAAATTACAATAAATCGAACAAATTGAATCGCTGAATTTTTCCACGAGAGATGCCACATGTTTTTTGAAACACCCTGTAAAAACGATTAATATAATACAGTTAAATAATTAGGTGTTTAAATGATTCGGTAGGTACTTTGCATCAATTGTTCGAGACACCTCGAACAATTGATCAAAGTATGTATCCCCTTAAATTAGGCACCCTCAAGTATTTTGTATCCCCTTAAATTATTACGATTTCTCTGCCTTTATTATTATATTTCTGAATAACAGAAATAACATTATAGAAAGATCCGGAATTCAATAAGTTCAGGCGATTACTCTAAGCCTGTCAAACGTAGAATTTTTTTAAAACATTGTGATTTTTTTTAGCTTACACGTACACAGTCTTTCGGTCACAATACATGTATCACCGACCGTTTATAATTGTACTTTCAGTTTTCCAAATATTTTATTAATGCTTTCTACCACATTCAAAGCAATGTAATTTTTTTTTTCAACTTCCTAGTTTTTATACGTAGATTCATTTCTTCAAAAAATACTTCTGGGTATATTGCCATTAGAAGAAGAAAATCTACAAAATAAAATAGTCATTTCTTGTAAACACCCCTGCGTTAATCCAACGAAAACCAATTTGTCAGTGGTATTTTACTAATAAGACAAATTTGCCTAATGGACAAAAAATGACAGAAGAAGATATATCACCTGAAACGTTAAGCATTTTTTGTCCGTTAGGCAATTTTGTTTTATTAGTAAATTACCGTTGACAAGTTGGTCTCTATTACATCAACGCAACTGTGTTTCCAAAAAAATAACTATTTAATTTTGTAGATTTTTTTATAGGTACTTACGTGATATCTTACAGATCTTTGCATATCTGGAAAATAGTTATTTAAGATTCATAGATATACAGAAAACACTATTGAGTCATAATCAGTTTTAAATAAAGTTGATTTAATATACTAAGTATAAATTAAGATTTTTTAAGAGTCTTTAGACTCTTATATAGTAATTATACTACAACAATAAAATGGCCTTAATAGAATCTCATATTATTTAAGTATTGCCCACAAATATGCTTACTATAATATGGGTAAAAGTATTTTCTATTATTTAGAGAATTTAAATAATTTAAACTATTAAACTCTTATTAACAGCAAATAAAAATACATTTGTAAATAATATAAATAAAATATTAACAGAATATAACAATAGTTAATTATTTTAGAAATAGAGTAATAGCTCAATGATTTCAGTTATTACTCTATTTTTAACATAATTAACTATAATTTCTACTAAATTGGTTTTAAAAACAGCATGAAAAAATGTTTTTCTATTAAGTAAACTAATAAAAGCAAGAAAAAGAAAAGAAAAAAAAGGTTTGCATAAATGCAAGTATTATAAATATTAAATTTTATTTCTGAGATCAGTAGGTATTTGAATGTCAGGTAACACTTCAATGAACTAAATATTAACTTACCTATTCGAAATAAAACCACAAGTTCCTGAATAAACAATATTTTTATTATTTATTACAGCGCAATGTGATTTTTTCTCCCAACAAATTAAAAAATATAAACAAATTTCATATCAATCTAACTATAATTTATGAATAAATAAAAACACACATAACATAATAATATATACATACTACATAAGTTTCTAAGGAAACTTCAGTCATTGTGTAATCACAGAATACTCGGTATATAAACAAATCTTACAAGCTATTTTGTAATAAATTAAACTAAAAAACCGACCAGCGGTTTATTTGAAATATTATAAAATATTGGCGTTACCTTGTGTAGGTAAAATTAGATGATTTTGAGTTAGGTCATAAATAATATGACCAAAAAGATTCGTAATGAAGCAGGCCCCTAATACCAACATAAAAACAACTCTTATCGAAAATAAATATAGATTTTTTTACCTGTCAAACTGAAAACCCGCTTGATTACTAAACTTTTTGATCGAACTGTACCTAATGAACGCACCATGACAGCGATATTCGTCTTCAACACTAATATATAACAGGAACTGGTCTTCTTATATCATAATTGTTCGTCGTGGGTACTGGGCGATTTGATGGGTCTGCATACAGGACTGGAGGTGTTGGTAATGTCGAATATATACTCATCGGATGAGAAGACGCGAATGTTTTTGTCGCAGACTGTTGATACATCGGAGGATACATTGATGAATGAAGAGAAGTTACTATTGGCGGCTGTGCCGGCTTAAAATAACCGTATTGTGGCTGTAAAGTGTCAATGGGATGATAATATTGCATTGGGATACTGGGAAAACCGGTTCCTGGAGTGTATCCAGCTGGCACGGGTCCTTTCGGCTTCCTTCTTGGTCGGTACTTGTAGTCTGGATGCTCCTTCATGTGAAGAGCGCGTAGTCGCTTGGCCTCATCGATAAACGGCTTCTTATCCGCCTCAGTTAACAGTTTCCATTCGGCTCCGAGCCGTTTCGAAATTTCGGAATTATGCATTTTGGGGTTTTCTCCCGCGATTTTGCGACGCTGGATTCTCGACCACACCATAAACGCGTTCATGGGTCTTTTAATATGTCCATCGGCAACAGGATTTGGAACCTGTTGACTTTCCTCTAAGGACGTTTGTGGAAACGCGTACATGTTTAAACTGGGCTTCGATTAACCGAAGCGGTTAATTAATAACCGCGCACAAAGACAGAAACACGTGCACACTGACTTGATACACTGAGACAGAGACAAAGATTGTTGACACTACTGGTAGACTGTCTGAACACAACTAAACCAGCTGACTAAACCTAACTCTGCGTCAAAACCGGGTATAAATGTAGGCCGAATGAGAGGGGGAGGAGCTTTTGTGACGGGCTTTGGGATCGACCCACCCTTTTTTGTGATTGGTTCACCGTTTCCCTTTCTCCTGGTCCTTTTTATTATCTCGTTTTTTGTTCTCCTCTCTGTTGTGCTGTCGTATGTAATAATATTCTTACAAAATACCTACCTGTTCGTGATTTCTTGTATACGCGGACGTAAAATATGGTCATTGTTGCGCGTTATAATCTTTGAATTAATGTGTTTAGTGAATGTTCCATTATTCGAGTTCATTTTCGAGTACGGCGAGCTGCAATAAATTTGTCCATTGTGGGGACAATCGGAAGTTCATTCGTTTTGACGCTGCCGATGGCGAATTTGGTCTCGTTAGCTGAACGTCTTTTTTTAACGATTGTCTATCTATGCTGAAATAAATCGTATGCAATAATAAATAGCTACTTATCGAATACCAAAACAAGTTCAACTTTTCTATTAAAAAAAACTTTTCCTTTATAAAATGAATAGGTATTTTAAAAAGTTTACAATGCCAACTTATAATGCAATTTAATTTTTGCTACCTGTAGGCAGAGCTGTAACAAGTCAGTTTTAAAAGACTTAAGTCTAAATTAATTCTAAAATAAACATGATTTAAGTCTTAAGTCAATTTCAATAAAAAGTTCAAATGACTTAAGTCATTTTCATTCAAGGCAAGCCATTTTTGTTAAGACTTAATTCAATATAAAATATAACGTTAGTTAAGTCTTTTTTTACTTAAGTGTTTTTGTGTTACTTAAATCATGATATTCTGCAAGTTAAGTCAGTAAAATTAATTAAATCAATATAATTTCCCTAAAGTCAAGACAACTAGAAATCAATTTAAATACCTATTTTTTAAATGTTTATTAATTTTCTTGTACTTACTACTGATTTTTTTATTGTCTTTATTGATTTATTGTAGATACAGATTAGAATAAAATATTATATAAACAACTATAATAAACAATAAAAAAATAAACGCATCAAGGACATAGTAACACACATATTAAAAACATTAACAACACAACATTAAATAAAATTAAATTGCGTGGTAATTTGTACAGGTTGTCCCATTTTTGTTTGTTTTACAGGATTTCTCGTTAATGAGCAGCGGTACAAAGATACGGTTTTCACAATTACTACTTTTTATGAAACTAAAGAGGGTAGACACATATTTGATGCCGCTGTTAAAAATTTAAGAAAAAAATTTATCAAAAAAAACTTAAAAAAGTAATCAAAAGAATTTTCTAAAAAGACTTAAATCTCATAAAAGATTTAACTCTTTTGTAGAAGATTTAAATCTTCTAAAAGACTTTAATCTTTTTTTAATGACTTAAATCCTTCTCTATTTCGGAATAAAGACTTAAATTACCAATTCATCATCATCATCAATTTTGAAAATGTCTTAAAAAAATGATTTAAGTCAAAAAAAGACTTATGTTTTCTGTGAGGTCGCAGCTCTCCCTGTAGATATGTTACAGCCCCAGCTTGTTTTAATAATCCTTCACTCTTTATGTAAATCCTTTTTTTCATTACCTATTACATACGTATGCAACACAGGCAGTAGATTAAATTTAGAAAAGAAATTCTGAATCATCTAAATGAAAATCCAGAAAAGCTCAAAAAGAGTGGTTCTCCAAATTTAAACAAAAAGTGTTTTTTTAATTCAATGTAAAATAATTCGATTATTTTGGACTTATTTGAAAAACTGTAAAGAGAAAATATGTTTCTCTTAGCGAGATCTACGAGCCCTGAAGTATTTGTAACCATAGCATATACCAACATATACGTAACCAAAAACCTAATCTCAATGGCGTACTTTTTTATTTTTTCATATAAAAAGCGAGATTTTGTATGTTAGTATATGATATCAATTAGGATTGATTGACGGTATTCAATTGTTTTTTATCACTTCCTATTTAACTGGAAATGACTACAACTTTTGATTTTTGAAGTGTACCCTCGCCTCTTTTTTTCTACTTTATTCGATAAAAAATGACACTCTGAATAGAATGACATATCCTATGTCAACTTTTGACATTTTCTCATATGGTTTATTTGAAATTGATGCGGTTCGTAACGCCAATGTGACTCGAAATACCAAGTGTGTGGTACCAATCTATTCGTAAAAAAATGCTTTTTCCAAATATGCTAATGAGCCACCTTTGTTCCATTTGAAAAAATTAAGATATGATTACAAATACGATTTGGGCATCTTTTAACCGGCCAGGATAAGACGCGAAAAACATTAGATGATCAAATCTATTTTTCCAAGGCTCCTTGATTAAAAATTAGTATTTTTAACACAGCTCATGGCACTCTAGATTTAAATTTAGAATACGATTTTTTTAAAGCAAAAATGTAAAAAGTTGACTAGCTATTCTATCTAGAGTGTCATTTTCTATCAAATAAAGTAAAAAATGCAGAGGGTACAATTTAAAAATCAACCAATAGTGACCAAAAATAATTGAATACGTCAATCAATCCTAATTTATGTCATATACTAACATACCAAATCTCGTTTTTTTATCTGAAAAAATAAAAAAGTTATAGGGGTGAGCCACTTTTTGAGACGCACCCGGTATTTTAAATTTAAGATTTTAAGTAGGTACAAATTAGCCATTAAATCTAATAAAACTATTTCGTATACCTATTATAATTTTAACAATAAAAGAAACTTACAATAAAACCTATCAGTTATTCTCATTTAGTTTGGTTAAATTAAACTTAAATTAACCTAAATCGCGCTTTTTATGGCTAATATAATAACAATGTCAATTTATTAAATGTGAATAGTTCTAAATTGTTAAGTGAATAGTCCTAAATTGTGTATTGCTGAACTACTTCCGTTTGAATCAATCGGGAAAAATAGAGGATACAATATGAGAAACTTAAATGACATAAATTGACATAAAAGAAACCAGGACGGCATTAAGGTAAATTGGCCGCCCCCTCCCACTAATAATAATTCCAGTAATTTTTTTCTACCTATTTACAGGCAGCAACTTGATTTTTCTTATTGAGTTTTAAAAAAGTTATTGCTTCACATAAGGTGGGTCTTAAATAAGTGCAAAAATTTTCAGGGCTGGTACATCTCGATAAAAGAAACATATTTTCTCTTTACCCTTTTTCAAATAAATCCAAAATAACCGAGTTACTTTACTTTGAAAATTAAAAAAAAAAAAAGATTTTTTGCTAAAATTTTGAGAACCACTGGATCTTTTCTGGAATTCCTTTCTTGTAAATTTAATCTACTACCTATGTTGCCATATTATCAACCAATTATGATTTTTAACTAAAATCTAAAAAAAAATCCAAATTTTCAAATATTTTTTTTCGCAAGAAAACCTTATAGTCGTGCTTCTGGGGTCGAAATATACCACTCCTAAAAATATTTGCACTTATTTAAGACTCGCCCTGTATATTTTTCCATTTGTTGTCAATTTTTTAACCCATTTTTTGTACATTTTTATTTAAATGCACGTCAAGAGTGTACTCTTAGAAAACAACATTTTAACACTGATTAGTGACTATAAAAACATACAAATACAAATAATAATAATAATAGTAACGTTAAATTAAAAATTAAAAAATGTATCCTTTTCAAGATGTAATGTTTTGGATAAAATCGTAGGCAAGTAATTATAAATTCGAATCGTCTTACTAAAAGATTAGTGATGCAAAAGAGAGATATGTAATATTTGATCATAATAATTCAAAATTAATACGATACCATGGCAGTATATTTTATTTATTAAGATATTAATTTCCGAGTTATTTTGCAAGTTTTCCAAAAAATTGCCGCCCCCTTTTATACTGCCGCCCTAGACAGCTGCCTATCTTGCCTAATGGATAAAGCGGCCCTGGAAGAAACATAAAAAAATATTTCCTCTTTACCGTTTTTCAAATAAGTCGAAAATAACCCTGTAATTTTACTTTAAAAACTTTCAAAAAAATGATTTTTTGCTTAAATTTTGAGAACCACTGCATCTTTTCTGGGTTTTCTTTCTTATAAATTTAATCTACTATCTCTGTTGCCATATTATGAAGAAATTATGTTTTTTAGCTAAAAACTAAAAAAAAATATTTTTTTTTAAATTCTAAATTTTCCAAAAAGTTTTTTCGAAAAAAAAACTTACAAGATGTTCTTTAATGACATGCTAATTTTTAGGAGGTGATTCCTGGACCTATTCTAAGAAAAAAACTTGATATGAATATATGTCCCAAACATCTTAACTTTTTACATACAGGGTGGTAAAATTTTCTAATTTTTTTTTTAAAATATCTCTGACGTATATACAGGGTGTCATTTTAATGGTGTAAAAAAATCGGGGTGTAATAGTACTCCTTCAAATAGTAAAAAAAATCCTATAAGTATAGGGCGCAAAATGCATATTAAGGGAGTTAGGGGCACTGAAAGGGTAAATTTAAAAAACGGTTGTTTTGAAATTGTAGGCTTAAAAAACGAGATAAGACTTCGAAAAAAAATCCTCTGCCATAAATTTTGACCCTAAATCAAATGGTGATACTGAAAAGTTATTTGGATAAGCGGAAAGGGTAGTTTTTGTAAGGGTAGGGGGTTATTTCGGGAATAACTTTTTTGAGGTTATTTTTTTGCAACGTGGGTTCATTTTTTGAAAATTATATACTTTTTCCTACAAAAAAGGTACTCTTGTTGCACATCGCCCAGAGCGATGGTTTTCGAGAAAATCGAAAGCAAAGAGATTGCTCTGATGGGTTGCTAACTGATGGTTAATCAACCTAAACTTATGAAACGTATGGCGGTTCAAAAGTAACCAAGTAGTTATTAAATAATTAATTGGAAAATCAAAATTTCATGATTTTTAAACATCTTATTGCTTTAAAAACGAAATAAACTTTTTTGGTTTTAAAAAAATTTGGTTTGGTTTGGTGAACTGAAAAGCAACTAC